AGAGGATGGCCATAGTGGTGACGGCTTGGATGGTGGCGGAGGAGGTCGTCGGCCATCCGTAGCTCTCGGCGTTCGTGCATCCCCGCGACGGTTCGAGGAGGTGGGAAGGGTCTCCGGACCACGGGGAGTCTTTGGGTGGAGGAAAGGGAGGGAGGTGAGCTCGGTGTTGCTCGAATTTGAGCGAGCCGAAGCGGCGGCTGTGCGGTGGTAGGAGGAGAAGGAAGGCACGGGAGGAGGAGGCTGCTGCTCGAGGAGGTCGCTGGGGGGAAGAGGGAGTGAACCGAGATGAGAGAGGGGCTTGGGGTGGCTGTATAAGGCGGGGCCATGGCGCACCGTGGGCGGCATCCACGGCCGCGGCCAATGCAGTGCCAGGGGCCGAACTGGCACCCAGTGCCTTGTCCAGGGCGTTTGTAGGCGTGGCCTAGGCCAAGGGAAAGGCAGAGGGAGAGCGGGGAGGTGCCAGAGGCTTCACGCATGTGAGCTCGCCCATTGGAGCTCTCGGGCGGTCGGGGCACGTGTGGAGGAGGCAGCAGGAGGAAGAAAGAGAAGGGGGACAGGGGCGTGGCGTGTTGCGGACGTCGAGGAGCATCGACTGGCGCGCGTGGGAGGCTCGAGGTGGTCGGAAGCCTCGGGCAGGACGCAACTACAGTGCGGGAGCACACTATAGCGTGCTCCAGAGCGCCCATTTGGCATGCCACGGCATTCCCACACGCTCTGGGTGTGCCCCGCCTTGTCTACTAGCTGCTGGTGCATATGGAGATGCCGTGGTGTAGCTTAGGTACTAAGGGAGAGGTAGGAAATAAAAATAGAGGGAGGAAAGAAATGCTGCCATGGCTGTCCAGAGAGGAATCTTGGAGGTTTTGCCCACCAATAATTGTCAAATGGCCAGGGGAAAGTTACTGGAGGTAGGAGGTGACTAGGGTGAGCTCTGGTAAAAAGTTGAGCCCATTTGGATTAGTGGAAGAGGTCAAAGTAGTTGTTTTAGTAAAAGGGCAGAAAGTGTTTGTTGCTGGTTTGGGCAAGAAGATTAACTCCTCTTGTCATGAGGCTTGACAATGTCAAATGGCATGAGATAATAATAGGTTCCACCAAGGTTGAGTCCATTTGGGCAAAGTTGCCAATGCAACTTTTGTAAAACCTAGAAATTAGCAGAAATGAACTTGTGTAGATCTAGTTGAGAAAATCACTTATCCTTGATGCACCACTTGGTGTAGTGGCCCCATTTGGTCATGTAAGCATGCTCACAAAAGTTGGGGTCTAGGAGAGAAAGTTGGTAGCACAAACTTGTTCAAATTTGATTCTGGTCAGAGAGGGTTTTGAGGCACTTTGATCAAGATATCTTTTTCTCCAACCTGTGCCATTTGGTCTAGATGCATGATTAGACCATTGGAGCATGTTCACAAGATTTGAGAGCATTTGGACATGTTTGGCAATGTAAAGTTTCTCAAACTTCAAAATGTACAGAAATGGTTTTGAGGGGATTTGATGATGTTATATTGTTCTCCAAGACATGAGACTTGTCAAGATCGTCTAATATGTTATATGTGACAAGCTATAATTTTCTTGGAATTGTTGGAGAATATTTCCTTTGTAAATATTTCAAAAGCTTGAAATATCCAGAAAGGGTTTTTGAGGGATTTAACCAATATTTTGAACATGACCATGTGTTGAAACTCTTATATATGGACAATATATGTCCACTGAGTTTCCCTAGGTTTTTGTCAAATATTTTTGAAATAAAAAAAATGATTTTTCCCTAATAAGGACCATTTCTGGCCTTAAGAAAAAGCTTTTAAATAAAATAGGAAAAGAACTTTTAAAATTATATTTTTGTTGTTTCTGGGTATCCTATATCTAATATGAGTCAATTATATTTTTGGAAAGATTTTTACTGCCCTTAATTAAGTACTTGCAGTGCAAACCTCAATTCAGGGGTTTTTGAAAAAACTAATTTTTGAAAATACTATTTGGCCAAATTATTTTTGCAAGAAATTATTTTTATGTCCTATACACATGGCATGATCATTGGGAAAGGTTTTTGGATCAAGGAGAAGGAGTATAAGAGTTGGAGGATTTATTTTATTTTTAGAGCACTTGCAAACAACAGACAAAAAACAACCAAGGCAAGGTCCAAAACACTCAAAAGTTTTTGTCAAACCACACTTTATCATGATTGTTAGCTTAAGTGTTGTGCCATGAAAATCAGG